ATGTTAGGAGTTTCTGTATTTTAATGAGTTCCATGGTGTATTGTGGTGCTGAGTCTATGAAGCTCAGGTACTGAGAGCTGAATGATGCAACTGCTAGAGAAAGTAAAGTCAGGAGGAAAAGTTGATGTGACTTGGAATATTAATAGGCCCCATTGAGGGCTGTTAAAAACTAAGCCTCCCCAAAATCTTGTTAGTGCAGATACCTGGAGACCATGGTTACAGACAGGCAAAGCACTGTGCTGAGGAAAGTCTTGGTTGGTTTTGGTGATGCAGAAGAGCCAAGACCTGACCCCAGCCACGGGACAAGGAGATCCTGCACCCCCACGTCTAGCTCAAGGTTCTTCTTGGGGTCTGTGGAACGTGGTGGGCAGTGGGATGTCGTGAGAAGAACTGTGGTATGAAACCTCCGAGCAGCTGCACAGGGTTGAAAGGAATCCATGAGTCCCCATCACAATGAATATAACATATCTCCTCCTAAGCTCTAGCCGAAGGGACAAAAAATTCAGGGCAGTTAGGGCCTACTCTTTTTACCAGCACCCTCTGCCTTCTCCTCTGCAGGCTTTCCTATGCTGTCCCACACATTGCCCTATTTCCTTGAAGTCTGGAGACACCCATCTCTGTTCACCATCTTGCTCTCATCCCTTGCTTTCACTGACCTCTTGTCAGCCCTCATCAGCTGTTTCTTGAAACACGAAGCAAGGATCTGATCAGAGGGTGATCTCTGGCACCAAAGCATGACCCTTTGAGGGACATTTCTTCCTCCTTGTAACCAGTACCAGCCTTCCATGGAACACTATGTGGCAGTTTATTCTTTCCTGCTCTTTCCTACTACCAAAGAAAGCTCCCTCAGAGTGGAAACCACTCCTGAAGTAGGCATCCCAACCCAGCAGGCTCCTTGCGGCCTCTCAGCCAACCAGACACAAGTCACCTCAGCAGCAGCTTCCAGGCCAGGGGCCTGCTGCTGGCCTTGCAGCTTCTTGGCTAGACACAGCCAAGCCTTGTGCCTGCTGCTGTGCAGTCATGGACTCAAGCAGAAGGGACAGGACAACCCATGTTGGGGCCTTCTTTCTGCCTGGGTCCTCCTGGGTCTGGAGGCAGAGGGGATCCCCCAGTCAGCATGCCAAGCAGGTGCCTTCTGCTGGCCTAGCAGGGCCACTGCCAGATGTCAGCCCAAAAGTGCAGCTCCCAGGTCTATGTCAAGGCTGACCTGCCACCTCCAGACACAAGTGACCTCCCAGTCCCTTTCCATGATACGTTCCTGCTGCTGCCCTATCAAGTGCAGAGACAGAAGTGACCCCATAGGATGCTCCAGAGGAGATGGAAAGAGAAGGATACTGAGAGAAATGAATTTCCAATAATATCTTTATTGTCTTTAACAACAAAGGAAACATGATATCTGTGTACATTAAATGATATGGTAAAAACTAAGAAAAAATGTAACATTCAAAATGCTGAGAACTATACTACTAAAAACAAAATAAAATATTTTGAAATATTAACAGAGAGAAATAATTTTTAAAATGTTTTTCCATTTTCCCAAATATCCTTTTATTTCTGTTAGGATTATTATTAATGACAATGTTATGATAACACTAATAATGATAAAAATGATATGATATAGTATGAATCAAAATATTTGCATATTATTAAGAATACGTCCTCTGAATACATCACAGATGCTAAAGAAGCATGTATGGAAACAATTTCCTCACTGCATTCTTGAGCTCCTGGTTCCTCATGCTGTAGATGAGAGGGTTCACTACTGGAGGCACCACCGAGTACAGAAATGACACCACCAGGTCCAGGGACAGTGAGGAAACGGAGGGAGGCTTGAGGTAGGCAAATATGGCAGTGCTGACAAACAGAGAGACCACAGCCAGGTGAGGGAGGCACGTGGAAAAGGCTTTGTGCCGGCCCTGAGAAGAGGGCATCCTCAACACTGCCCTGAAAATCTGCACATAGGACAGCACAATGAAAACAAAACAACCGAAGGCCAAAAAACCACTAAAAACAAGAGCCCTAGCTTCCCTGAGGTAGGTATTTGAGCAGGACAGCTTGAGGATGTGGGGGATTTCACAGAAGAACTGGTCCACAGCTTTGCCTTGGCAGAGGGGCAGGGAAAATGTATTGGCCGTGTGCAGGACAGCATTGAGAAAGCCACTGCCCCAGGCATCTGCTGCCATCTGGGCACAAGCTCTGCTGCCCACGAGGCTCCCGTAGTGCAGGGGCTTGCAGATGGCAACGTAGCGGTCATAGGCCATGACAGTGAGAAGAGAATACTCTGCTACAACCAAGAAGACAAAAAAGAAGACCTGAGCAACACATCCTTGATAGGAGATGGCTCTAGTGTCCCAGAGGGCATTGTCCATGGCTTTGGGCAGAGTGGTAGAGATGCAGCCCAGGTCGAGGAGGGCGAGGTTGAGGAGGAAGAAGTACATGGGGGTGTGGAGGCGGTGGTCACAGGCTACGGCGCTGAGGATGAGGCCGTTGCCCAGGAGGGCAGCCAGGTAGATGCCCAGGAAGAGCGCGAAGTGCAGGAGCTGCAGCTCGCGTGTGTCTGCGAATGGTAGCAGGAGGAACTCACTCACAGAGCTGCTGTTGGGCATTTGCTGACATTAAGCACAGCCTCCTGTCGAAGATGACAATGCAGATCAAAGTTAGAACAGACTTAAATGAGGAAAACCTATTCCCTGTCTTAGCACACCCCCCAGGAGATCTTCTCTCTTTACAGGAGAACCTGCCAGAATCTCATTGTTTCCATTCTGATCTCTCTGTGCAATGCTCTGGGATTCTCAGTCTCCTGTACAATCCTGAGAACACATTAACCTCAAACTTGCCTCCCCTGCAGTGCAGGAATCGGAAAGCACAGAACCAAAAAAAAAAGCCTTCTCCTTTAGATAAACAAAGCCTCAATCTTCTTCTGGAAATGACCCCTTATAAATGACATTCCCTAAAGCATCTTCTACTAATTTCTGGAGAAACAGAGAGACTCACCCTGACAGATGCTGTCAGCCATCGGATGTGCCAGCTGTAGAAGACCCCTCTGGCAACCCCACCTGCATGGCCCTGCTGCCAGAGCCTCACGGTGTCAAGAGCCTGCAGATGTGTCCTGCCACACGCTTCCCTGTGTTGTTGCACTCCTCAGTGCCTCCAAGTCCTACTTCCACAAATGTACTTCCCACACTTTTTTGCCCACCCCCTAGGAGGGTTAGAGAGAGTCCTGATGCTGTGCGAGCACTGCTCAGCAGGAGACACAACACTGGTGTGATCCCACTGCTGTTCTAGCTCCACGTGCAGAGCACAGCACTGTATGGGCTGCTGCAGGGAAAGTTAACATCCCAGCCAGACCCAGTACAGTAACTTTGTATGGACTTTGCTGTCCATGCAAAGTCCTTAAAGCCCTCCTCAGAGCTTTTAACCAATATTTTTGGTTAGTCCAGCTGGCATCCCGTTACAAGTGGCGCCCCCGCCAGGGGTCGGTACTGCGACCTATCTTGTTTAAGGTCTTTATTGATGACCTAGATGAGGGGATTGAGTGAACCCTCAGTAAGTCTGCAGATGACACCAGGTTGGGAGGTAGTGATGATCTGCATGAGGATCTGTAGGTGGCCCTTCAGAGGGACCTGGATAGGCTGGATTGCTTGGTTGAGGTGAATGGGATGAGGTTCAACAAGGCCAAGTGCAGGGTCCTGCAATTTGGCCACAATAACTCCATGCAGTTCTATAGGCTTGGGTAGAGTGGCTAGAAGACTGTGAAGAGGAAATGGACCTGGGAGTGTTGATGGATGCTCAGCTGAACACGAGCCAGCCGTGTGCCCAGGTGGCCAAGAAGGCCAAGGGCATCCTGGCCTGTATTAGAAATAGATCAGCCAGCAGGAGCAGGGAGGTGATCGTTCCCCTGTACTCTGTTTTGGTGAGGCCACACCTTGAGCACTGTGTTCAGGTTTGGACCCTTGTTACAAAAGGACATTGAGGTCCTGGAACATGTCCAGAGAAGGGCAACCAAACTGTTGAGGGTTCTGGAGCACAGGTCTTATGAGGATTGGCTGAGGGAACTGGGATTGTTTAGTGTGCAGAAGGGGAGGCTCAGGGGAGACTTCATTGCATTCTACAACTTCCTCAAGAGAGGTTGATGTAAGGCGGGGGTTGGCCTCTTCTCTCAGATAACTAATGATAGGACTTGAGGAAATGGCCATCAGTTGTGCCTGTGGATGTTTAGAATCATAGAATCATAGAATCATAGAATATCCTGAGTTGGAAGGGACCCTTAAGGATCATCAAGTCCAACTCTTGACACCGCACAGGTCTACCCAAAAGTTCAGACCATGTGACTAAGCGCACAGTCCAATCTCTTCTTAAATTCAGTCAGGCTCGGTGCAGTGACCACTTCCCTGGGGAGCCTGTTCCAGTGTGCAACCACCCTCTCTGTGAAGAACCCCTTCCTGATGTCCAGCCTAAACTTCCCCTGCCTCAGCTTAACTCCATTCCCGCGGGTCCTGTCACTGGTGTTAATGGAGAAAAGGTCTCCTGCCTCTCGACACCCCCTTACGAGGAAGTTGTAGACTGCGATGAGGTCTCCCCTCAGCCTCCTCTTCTCCAGGCTGAACAGGCCCAGTGCCCTCAGCCGTTCCTCGTACGTCTTCCCCTCCAGGCCTTTCACCATCTTCGTAGCCCTCCTCTGGACACTCTCCAACAGTTTCATGTCCTTTTTATACTGTGGTGCCCAGAACTGCACACAGTACTCGAGGTGAGGCCGCACCAGCGCAGAGTAGAGCGGGACAATCACCTCCCTTGACCTACTAGCGATGCCGTGCTTGATGCACCCCAGGACACGGTTGGCCCTCCTGGCTGCCAGGGCACACTGCCGGCTCATATTCAACTTGTTGTCTACCACGACCCCCAGATCCCTCTCTTCTAGGCTGCTCTCCAGCGTCTCATCGCCCAGTCTGTACATGCAGCCAGTTTAGATTAGGTATCACAAAAATCTTTTTCTCTCAAAGAGTAGTCGGGAACTGGAATGGTCTGCTCAGAGAGGTGGTGGACTCACTGAACATCACAGTGTTCAAGAAGCACCAGAACAAGATGCTAGGAGATATGGCTCAGTAGCTTAGTGGGTAGTATTAGTGATAGGAAGGTTGGACTAAATGGTCTTGTAGGTCCTTTCCAAATTTGTGTTTCTATGATTTCTATGACTCTATCATTGGACAAGGAGAATGGTTTTAAACTTCAAGAGGGTAGATTTAGATTAGATAGATGAAATTCTTGACTTGGAGGTAAGGCACTGGAACTGGTGCTGTGGGTCCATAGGTCACCCAGAGGGAGTTTGGATCAGCCCATGCCCTTGTGTTTGAAGGAACAGCTGGTGAGAATAGAGATGCAGCAGTGAAATCATGGAAATAGCAGAGTGAAAGCAATGTTTGGAAGAGAACTGTCGGTCTGCAGTCTTCTGCAGCCTTCAGGGAAGTGAGGGACAGCATAGGAAAGCGTGCAGAGGAGAAGGCAGAGGGCTCTGACAAGAATGGAAGGGTTCAGCAGCACTGACATCTTTGTCCCCTTGGCCTTGGCTTATAAGGAGACGTTATACTCATGGCATTGGGACCATGAATTCTCCTTTCAAACCTTTGCAAACACTGGGAGGTGTCATACCATTGTCCTTCACATATGGTATTGTGGGTATCACCCCCTGCCACACAGACCCCAGGAAGAGCGAGACATGGGGATGCTGGGGGTGCAGGATCTCCCCTCCTGGGCCAGGATCTCCCATCCTGGGGTCAGGCCTTGACCCTTCTGAGTCACCAAAACAAACCAAGATTTCTCAGCACAGTGCCTTTGCCTGTCTGTAATCATGGCTTTTAGTTATCTGCCCTAACAATTCCCATGGGAGGCTATCATAGAAACAGACCAGAATAGCCAACAGAGTCTAGAGTCTGGAGTCTAGAGCAGTCTAATACCACAGAATAGAGTAGCCAACAGAGGAGAGACAGGTACTTTGATATAATGACAGCCATCAGAAAGCTAATCCCAGTTAGATGACTGATATGGGGAGGTCAGGAGTAGCCTGGCCAGGAGAGATGTCAGATTTGGGGGAGGGAAGAGGAAGGGAAGAGGAGCTCAGAATCTTACCTTTGTAGGGGTAAGAGGGTTCATGTAATGTTGATGTTGCTGTAAAACTGATTTCAAACAGTCGTGTAGGGCTTGTAAACTATTTTCAACAGAATCCCTCAACCTAAACATTAGTGCAACATCCTGACAGGAATCCACGATTGGAAAGCAGAACTCAAAATATTACCTAAAGAAAAGCTCAGCGCATAGCCCCTTTTTCTTACATTTCCTCTCTTGCTCACCCTAATCCCCACCCTTAAAACTAATATTAAAATGCTCTATTTATCCCTAGACTTCTTCACAAACCTAAGCAAAACCCTAAGCCATAATGTTTGCCCATACCCTAACCAGAGACCTGACACCACAAACAGAACACCAAACCTTACAACTATATCTTTCTTTACTCTCTAAACCAGAAAGTTGAGCCCCAGTCCACAGAGGACAAGGGAGAGATGAGCTCTACCTCAGGATCTCCTGCCCCAGCAGGAGCAATGTGACTGTGGCAGGGACTGTGAGGTCACTTCTGTCTCTGCACTTGATTGGGCAGCAGCAGGAACGTGTCACGCAAAGGGACTGTGAGGTCACTTCTGCCTGAAGCAGCTGACAGGTCACCCTTGACATAGACCTTGAATCTGGACTTTTGGGCTGACATCTGGCAGTAGCCCTGCTAGGCCAGCAGAAGGCACCTGCTTGGCATGCTGACTGGGGGATCCCCTCTGCCTCCAGAGCCAGGAGGACCCAGACAGAAAGAAGGCCCCAACATGGGTTGTCCTGTCCCTTCTACTTGAGTCCATGAGTGGGCAGCAGCAGGCACAAGGCTTGGCTGTGTCTAGCCAAGAAGCTGCAAGGCCAGCAGCAGGCCCGTGGCTTGGAAGATGCTGGTGAGTATCTACGATCAGACCCTAGCTTTGTTTTTCAAGGAACAGCTGGTGAGGTTTGATGAGACATTTGTGAAATGATGGAAATGCTGGGATGAGTGCAAGGCAGTGAAGAGAGATGAGTGTCTGCAGACTTCCAGGAAGTAGGAAAAAGTGTGGGACAGCATTTTAAATCATGCAGAGGAGAAGGCAGAGAGTGCTGGCAAGAATGGAAGGACCCAACAGCCCTGTCACTTTTGCTAGAGCTTATGAGAAGATGAGATAAAGTCATTGCAGTGTTTAATTCCTTGCAACCCTGTGCAGAGGCAGGGTGGTGTCATACCAGTGTTCTTCTCATGGCATCACACTGCCCATCGCATTCCTCAGACCCCCAAGAAAAGTCCTGATCCAGACAGGGGGGTGCAGGATCTCTCCTCGCAGTGACTGGGGTCAGGCCTTGGCCCTTTTGCTTCACCAAAACAAACCAAGACTATTCTCAGCACAGTGCTTTGCCTGCCTGTAACCATGGCCTCCAATTATCTGTCCTAACATGTCCCTGGGGAAGCTTTGTTAGTAACAGCCCTCAGTGGGGCTGATTAAAACTCCAAGTCACTTCAGCTTTTCCTTTTGCATTTGCTTTTTCACACAGTTGCATCATCCTCTTCTCAGTACCCAAGTTTCATTGACTCAGCACCAAAATACTCCATGGAACTCATTAAAACACAGAAACTCCTAAGGAGCCATATCTCACCCACCATTTTCTTCAAGTCTTCAAGACTTGTTCAGCTAATTGTAGAGCTTTCATGTTCTAGTTAAGGAGGAAGATTTCAAAGAGCATCTAATAAAAATCTTTCTTCATTTTAAAGGCTGAATTTTGTTGTGTTTCAGTTGAGAGCATCATTCTCCTATAGGTATTGGTCTAGGGTTTCTCCTTTGAAGTCCTGCTTAGATGGAAAGAACAGGGGTTTTCCTATTTCAAAACAAACAACAGGAAATTATGCTGCCGTTTAAAAAAAAAAAAAAAGTTCAAATTCCTTGTTTTGTTGCCTCCAGTGATGGTTATCTTCCCAAAAGAATGACGGTACATGATTTATTTTTCAGTGAGTAATAGGAAATTTCAGATAATTGTGTTAATATTAATCCATATCATACTAATTCAATGATAAATGATGAGGGTCTTACTAAGGACACCATTAGACAGACTGCTGAGAGATGGACGAGCTTGAACTCACTGAAACTCAAAGTAGCAACTGGGTTGGTGAGAGTGGTCTGAATGATTAAACGGTAAGAGGAGGGCAAACCAGGAGAATGATGGGAAGTGCATAGGTCCAGACAGGAAGCTGGGAAAGGGGACATTCACCTGTCTGACCATAAGCAACCAAGGAAAACCTCCAGTGGCCTCGTTGTGTTTCAGGCACTTCCCTGCACTGGCAGATGTCATTAAAGACCTGCAGGATGCCAGAGCCCTTTGGGAAAATCAGGTGGAGCCAGGTGGAGTTCCCAGGGCACCTCCACTGCTAGCAGTGGTCTTTGTCCCTGCAACTGCAGCCCAGTCCAGCACAGGAACACCCCTTCAAAGACAAACCTCTTCTTCAGTGGTGTCCTGGTACTGACCTAGATTTGAAATGGCCATTGGAAACCTGAGATACTCTCCCTTAATCCTACTAGACACGTGAACATCCGTTAATCTTCCTGGGTCATCTTTAGCAAACTCAGGCTGAAAAACTCAAGTGTAGCATGCTTCAAATGGCTGAGGCAGGACACATCAGCGTGCCCCACTTTGCAAATGGCTCCCGTCCAACTAAGGATTTGAAAGCAACAAATCCTAGAAGAGAGGGATCTGGGGGTCGTGGTAGACAGCAAGTTGAATATGAGCCAGCAGTGTGTCCTGGCAGCCAGGAGGGCCAACCGTGTCCTGGGGTGCATCAAGCACGGCATCGCTAGTAGGTCAAGGGAGGTGATTGTCCCGCTCTACTCTGCGCTGGTGCGGCCCCACCTCGAGTACTGTGTGCAGTTCTGGGCACCACAGTATAAAAAGGACATGAAACTGTTGGAGAGTGTCCAGAGGAGGGCTACGAAGATGGTGAAAGGCCTGGAGGGGAAGACGTACGAGGAACGGCTGAGGGCACTGGGCCTGTTCAGCCTGGAGAAGAGGAGGCTGAGGGGAGACCTCATTGCAGTCTACAACTTCCTCGTAAGGGGGTGTCGAGAGGCAGGAGACCTTTTCTCCATTAACACCAGTGACAGGACCCGCGGGAACGGGGTTAAGCTGAGGCAGGGGAAATTTAGGCTTGACATCAGGAGGGGGTTCTTCACAGAGAGAGTGGTTGCACACTGGAACAGGCTCCCCAGGGAAGTGGTCACTGCACCGAGCCTGTCTGAATTTAAGAAGAGATTGGACTGTGCACTTAGTCACATGATCTGAACTTTTGGGTAGACCTGTGCGGTGTCAAGAGTTGGACTTGATGATCCTTAAGGGTCCCTTCCAACTCAGGATATTCTGTGATTCTATGAAATATGGAATGACCTTGCAGGTCAATGTGCAGAGTAAGGGAAAGTCACACATATTGTCCTGGAGTAGGAGAAGGCAAAAAGCATTGCATTGTGCCTCAGAATAATCAAGGAGACCTAATGCAGTTCATCCATGAGGAAAAGCAGAGAGAAAGACGTTGAGTTTGGCCTAACATGAAGAAGGATGTGCATCACTGGTGAAAGAATCAGCATTTGTGCCATCATCAATGTGAATTACACAAGCACCAGCACACCTAATGGTAACCTGTCCACCCCAGCTTGGTATTCCCACAGGGCAGTGGAAAGGGAGCTGACAGCCAAGGGACACATCTGAGTGTGGAAGGTGGGGCCCAGCAGAGACAAGGAGTCAAACCCTGGGCCAGGCGGGTGGCAGAGACCCATGCTCCATGCAGGGGCTGGCTGGGGGTCCCCTCTGCTGCAGCCAGCGCACACAGCATGGCAAGAGGAGGGCTCCCTGCACATCACAGGGCACAGCCTGGCCCCGCAGGGGCTCTTCCTGACATCCCTGCAACTCCTGGCAGGCTGCGGTGAGGTGCCCCTCAGCCTTCCCTCTTGTGCTCCCAGGGCACAGGGCTGCCTCCTGCCCAGCTCACTGCCCACCATGAACGTCCAATA